CTCCCGGCCAGCTGGCCCGCTGAAACACAAGGTCAAGAACAAATGATGCAAAACAAGGCTATAGATTTAAATACAAAGCTACTTCCTGGAAGTAAGTCTGTGTAGGCTCTCAGTCACTGAGGTCATGGTAGACTCGAGGACTTGAGAAGAAGGAAATTACTTCTTTTTGCTTTGTTAGAATGTTTCATCTCTCATCCAAGAGTCTTCTTTGGTTCTAAAACAACTCACGAAGAGTCCCAGGTATTTAAAACATAGCAGGATTGCCCCTTAGGATGTGATCCCGAAGGTTGTTCGCCCATTTATCGTATGAATAGTCACACAAACCAAGATGTGAAATAATGCATGGATTATTAGTGTCACACCTTGTCTCCTTGTGTAATAGATAACCAGTTCCATCAAATATTTTCCTTTTTTTTCGAACTGTTGGACAAGCAGGGAGTTTGCATGCTTATAGAAGCAGAAGGAGCAGGAGACACTTGAATCCCACCAGGCCACGATTCCAAGCTCTCTTTTTAGGCCATCTCGTTTTAGACTCAGGTGCAACAGGCCTCAGGTCTGTGCATAATTTTGATGAAACTGAAAAATGTTATGTGCGTGCTAAGTCGCTTTGTGTCCCATATCCTTTATGTCTTCATTAATGCTCAGCCTATTTGGAAAAATCTGGATGAGATCTGCATTTGCCTCATTTACATGCCATTAAAGTGCTCTTGTTGCTGCAAATGCATACTTGTTGTTTAGCAGAGGCATTTTTCTGGGATGTTGTTTAGCTCAGTGTCACTCTGAAAAACTATAATGGCTCTCTTAGTAGAGCTGTGTGTTACCCCGATACTCTGCTTTGTTGGCAGAATTAAACTGTCAACTTGAAGAAGACTTTGGACGTATTTGAGTCGCAACTAATAAAAAAGTTGGGCAATTCACCTTTTCTCCTGTTTGCATCAGTTGTTAATTGAACAGACAAATATTTTATTTTCGTCACGCTCACACATTTAAATCAACTCATTTGTTCTCTCCCAAGAAGTTGCCAATACCTATCAAAGAGAATGTATTTGAATCAGACCGGTGATGGAAAGTAATGGATTTATTGCTGAGCTTTTAGGACTTGTGCATGCGTACCTGTCAGGTAGGTGTTATGCGATGAGTTGATGAAATAGTGAGATATCGGGAAGCTCATGTCTTCAGACTGATCCAGCTTTTCTGGTGGAATGACTCCATTCTCATCACTAGACAGATAACTGGAGAACGCCTGGAGGGAGATCTTGCCTAAAAATATTGTTCACACAAACACAAAAGACCAAAAGTGAGAACCCTATTCCAACAAAAATCAGTTCAGGACAATAAAAACTGGCCACTTTGACTCTTACTTCATTTAGGCATGATCAAGACAATCTAATTAAGTTGGGAAAGTGATTTGAAAGTGCCGTAGAGTTTGGTGGCACACAGGCTGGTATTTCAGAAGCTGCTACTCTTTTTTCCCACACAACCATCTCTAGTATTTACAGACAGAAAAAGAGAAAATAGCCAGTGAGCGTCAGCCCTTTATGAAAAAAAAAATGCTTTGTAAATGCCAGAGGTCAAAGGAGAATGACCAGACTGCTTTGAGCTGAAAGGAAAACAGCAGAACTCAAATAACAGCTCGATACAACTACGGTACATCTCTGAATGCAACACATGTTGAACCTTGAAGCGCATTGGCTACTGCAACAGAAAACCACACCACATCTAAAAAACAGCAAAGGATGCTACAGTTCATACAGGCTCACCAAA